GGCAGGTGTGGGTATGTGCAAACAGGCCAGAGGAAGACAGTGGATGCTCTACTCTACCACTCCTTGCCTTAGTCCCTTTACACACAATGTCTTACTGAACTTGAAGATTATTGCTGCTTGATGACGAGCAAGCCCCCCAAATCCTCCCACTTCTGCTCCCTATACAACTGGGATTATAAATATGCATGTGGCAATACCTGGATTTTTACATGGATGCTGGTGATCCAAACTGGGGTTCCCACTGAGCTATCTCCCTAGGCACTGAGGCTTATTTTCTTTATAAATAAGCTAAGACTTGGGAGATGGGACAATTAACTCCTTGATTGACAGCTGTTAGACTTCTCCTTGGTAGCTTGGCTGCCTTGAATGAAGGACTGTCAATCAAATGGCCAGTTGGACTACCCTTTAAGTCAGCCCTGGCTGTTCTGAACAACCCTTGGACACCTTGTGGAAGCCACATGACAATCACAGCTGCTTGCCGAAGCATAATTTCAGCTCCTAAAGGCATGTCCCTACCACAGTAATTTCAAATGCTGTGCCAGACTCTGCCATCACAAGCCTTAGTGAAATCTAGATAACCCAATAACTTCCTACAGGCCAGAGGGGAGCACTGTCACTATGTGGTCTATCAGAGGGATTGCTATGATTGGTAGAAAAGGGAAAATGCCACAATTGGTGTGAATACAGCAGATCATGGGCATGGAAATGGATGTTATTTGATGCAAACTCTTTCATGGCTATATAAGCTGGCTGTCAGCTCACTTTTGGAGTCAGCCTGGAGATATGTTACCATGCTGTGTCCTGGTGTTAAAATATTAGGCCCAATAAAGGCTTCTCTCAAGTGATCTTCTTGCCTACTTTTGATCTTCATAATAATAGAGCAGGCTGAGCTGGTAACATAAAGAAAGAAGGAAGTGGCTGCAATGGTTCACAGTAGCTGTGGAAGCAGTTTCCGTGGGAACCATGGCAGCAGCAGAGAGCGCACAGTGACAGGAGCCACACCAACAGTGACAGCAGAGGTGGTGGCAATGCCGACCTCAGTGGGGGCAAGGCCAGTGGGAACAGCAATGAGAGGAAGCTGAAGTGTGGAGATTAGCCAAGGTCTCAGACACTCTGGGCCTGAGATCTGGGGAATCCTGACATCCTGGATCTTGGAACTGTAACATAACTAGTCAAGGGCTGGGGAATCCTGACTTCCTAGGCCTACAAGAGCACCATAATGCTTGTCACCTAGCACAGAGGCTCCCAACACCTGAGGCCTGTACAAGAGCTCTAACACCAGAGGCTGCCACCTGCTCCTGCCTGCAGCTGGCTGAGGAAGCCCAGGTTTACAAAAGCTGCCAAGGACTAGAGCCTGCAGAGTCTTTCCTTGTCTACCTGCCATTCCCAACTAGGTGGAAGAAAGGACCCTAGCTAGTGGTAAAATTTTGTGAGTTGTGTAAACAACTTTTTCTTTTTTAATGTGTGTACATGTATGTATGTGTGCACATGTGTGTATAGAAACCAGAGGTTGACGTTAGGTCTCTTCCTATCACTCTCTATTTTTTGAGATAGGATCTCTTCACTGAACCTGAATCTTGCTGATTCAGCTAGACTGGCAGGTCACTGAACTCCAAGGATTCGCCTCTCTCCACTCTCTGTTCCTGTGAATTGTTTTTATGCTGTTCCATCTACACTGGGGTAAAGCAGGGAAATAGCCATAAGCTTTGCACGTTCTACAAGTACTTTGCAGAAGGGCCACAGGCCTTGGGATTTGACCCATTAGGTAATGAGATCCCACACTCAGAGAAGGAGGGCTGGGGATAGTAGGAAGCCCACATGAGAGGAACCATGGCTCTCATGAGTCCTGGAAGGCTCACTGGACCACAATTAGCAAGGCAATGGACCAGCAAACAAAGGCAATTACTAACAAGTAAACAGATAACATGACTTTTTATTAAAATCACAAGGAAACAGTGAAACAGGATCAGTTTCTTCCATGGAGGACAATCCCAAGAGTTTCTCCTTAAAAGGGTTCAGAATCTCACCACTGGAGCCTCCAAGCTCTCATATAGGTTAAGTTTTGACAGCTTTAGTGAAATTTGACTTTTCAGGGCACACATCCTAGTTTGTACATGGATTTGAAGTCATATCACAGGTACTTTTACTTACCCATGCGTCCATCCTGAGGTGGACTGATCAGAGAGATTCTTGAAGGACCCACTGCCATCTCAGGCTACATATGTAAAAGAAAACAGCTGGTGAGATCCCCAAACTGTCACTTGTAGGAGTCAGATTCTGTTCATCAGGCCCATGTACTAGAGTGCTAGATCCCAGTCCTATCACCTCTGACAAAACCACCTGTTCATTGGAACACAGCCCCAAAGGCCGGCTGGGGCAGGGTGGGGCGGGGCGGGGCAGGGCAGGGCAGGGCAGAGGATCACCTCTGCTCCATCAGGGCCTGAAATGGTAAATGGCATGGAACCCCACTAAGTTCAGGAGAGGAAAGGACACCCAGCTCTTGGTGAAGATAGAACATGTAGGTTTCTGAGTGACCTTGGTTGGAGCTGGCTAAACCCTATTCAGACTCCCTACACCTAGGAACACAGGGTATAGGCAATGTCACCATCCTTGGCCAACAGGAGTCTGAGGGCCCGGAGTCACTTGCCCAGCTTGTGCCCTCCTCATACAGGCATGAACCGGTGTACTCATGGCCACTCCCTTCTGGGATCACTCCTCGGCTCCCCTCCCACTGTTGGCACCTTGTCAGACCCCTTTCCTTCCCCCATCTTCAAGCACCAACAGTGTGCCCTTACTGACACCTCAGTGCCCACACCATTCCACTGATCCTGTGACTCATGGGTGCCTACCAGGAAAGCCCCTCTGCTCCTGCAGCCTCACCGCAGGCTCAGGAGTCCCTGCTCCACAGCACCCTTCATGACCCTTGATACTGCCCTGTTTGTCCTCTAGTCCTCAAGGGACCCTCCTGAGCCCCAACTCAGGTGGCTGACAGGAGACCAAAGTGACCTCTGTGCAGCCCAGTACATCGCTCTCCCACTGACCTCTTCCTCATCTTCTCACCTTCTATCTCCTTTCCTCCTTACTTATACCCCAGGATAGAAATGTAGAATAGGAGCTTTTCTTCTCTTCTCAGGCTTGGGCTCCATAGGAGTACCTCTCACTCCACCCCTCAGGGAGGGCACTCATAGCTGTAAGCTGCTTTCTCTAAAGAAACCTCAACAAACATCAGCTCCAGGGGCCACAAGGATCTTGGGGAGGTAGAAAGCTGGTTTTGGTCATTTTCCTTAAGTCTTTACATTTTGCTATAGCAGAGGGGTTAGTGAACTAAGGCGCACAGCCTGCTGATAAAACTACTGGAGTGTGGCCATACCCACTTATCTCCACATTGACTGTGATTGTTTTGGAGTCAGCAGATTTAGTAACTGCATCTGAGACCCTCTGTTCTTCCAAGTCCAAAATGTTTACTCTCTTGGTCCCTTTCGGAAGACACCTGCTAGTGTGTGGAGCGGCACCTTAGTTTGGAGTTTCACTCACTGCATTCTGTTCTTCCAGCTGTGTCATGTCAGCCTGTTGTATTCGGTATCTCTAGCCCAGTACCAGCTGTCTGGGCCCTAAGAAAACCTGAAGATGACCTAACCCTAACCCTAACCCTCACCACGCTATGGGGATTGGGAAGCCATGAGTACATATACACCCTTAAAGCAAGACCTCTGGTAGAGAGGTGGAAGCTCTTCCAAAGAGCTGAGATGTGTGGCAGGGATCTATGGGCTTCTGGAAGCCTGAGGCAGGGAGCTGGTGGGGGGGGTGTCTAGGGCAGGTGGGTGTATACTGGTGGAAGTGGGCACGTACGGGAGGTAAGCTGGGAAGGGAAAGGCAGCTTGTCCTTGAGCCAGCCAAGGACCTGGGGTATCTCCCCAGGGCAGTGATGGCTCCACATTTTCTGTTAAAGTCCTACCTTCTTATCCTGAAACACAAGTTCCTTTGTAATCAGGTCAAGGGACTCCCTTAGAAATGGATACAACTTCTGACTACAGGTCTATACACTGTTGTCTACACACTGGTGTCTACCTTAGAGCACTACTGGGAGGATGGTCCACACTTATGAAGAATTTAGAACAGGGCTAGCTGAGACTTCTATGAGAGGTTCTTGTGATGCATGTTAATGAACGCACATCAACGAAACTGTGCTATGAGCACGCATGCTATCGCCCTCCTTTGCTCCATTCTCTGGTCACAGAACACTCAGTGCAGCCCCAGCCCTGTGAAAAATCACCTTCTCTACCTGTTCTCTGAGGGTGTTTGGACAATATGGCATGCACAGAGGATCCAGTTCCACCTGAACTGGGCAGGTGACAGATCCCCATGGTGTGTCCCTAGGTTTGGGTGCATCCCTTTTGTTCCGGTTTCTTTTCCATTTACAGCTGTGGCTTTCTGTTTCTCAGTTCTCACTTTTCTGACCCACTTCTTTTCCTGAGCTGACAGGGTTCAGTTTATAACAAGTAGTGCTTTCTGGTTTTTGTTTTGTAAGGTTATGGGCAAAGGCAGGTGATGCACAGGACTATTAGCCCTGCTACTTTTGCTTAACACTGCAAGGGACCCTGCTGACCTCCCTACAGGCCTGGCCAAGAGGACAGAAAGGAATGCCCTTGTTTTCATGAGCGTCTTTCAAGACCTACTTTAGAACCACAACCTATTCATCCCCCTGGGGTCAGCACGCGATGCCAGAGAAGACAAGGACTTGAGCACAGGCACACTTACTTTTCTTGTTGGGGTTGTCAGCTCAATTTCCATTGAACCTATTCTGTTAAGCAGTAAAACACATTAATGAACCAGGGGTCTCTGTGTAATTTAAAAACTTCAGTTTAAACACCATTGTATGTAATAAGACCAGGAGTGAAAGAATGCCCTAGTCTATTTGGGGGGCTATCAGGAAAAGGTCAATTACAGGTATGTCTACTTCCTGTGTACTACTGGCTACTCACTGACTATAAATCAGACACAGTTTCTCTAGGGAACAGACCTTGATGGGATGTTTCCAGGAGGGTCCCTCTCTCCTCTCGAGGCTGTAGTTCCTCCACCCTGACTGCCTCTTAGTTCTTTGTTTTTTCTTTTTTTTGTCTTTTTGAGACAGGGTCTCCCCTGTGGCCACAGCTGGCCTAGAACTCACTATGCAGACCAGGCTGTCCTGCCTCTGCCTCCCAAGTGCTGGGATTAAAGGCATGTGTCACCATGCCCAGCTTTGCCTCTTAAGAGGTTCTTGAACTCCTGCCTGGTCCTGCTGACTTGACCCATATGAGCAGGAACATCCACTTACAGCTGTTAATGCATATTGCTAGCCTACATGTTACACCATTCATTAACCCAAAAGTGAACAGGAAAACAGCAACTGGATTTATTTTCAAACTGGCCTTCTCCTATGACAGCCATCTGGTGGTGGCAACCTCATAGCAAAGAGACCCCCTTTCCTGACAGCTCCATGGAGTTCCAGGATGGCTCATTATCTCAGCCTAGGTATGTAGCTACCCCAGCATTTGTTTTAAATTTAACTTTTTGGGGCTGGAGAGATGGCTCAGCGGTTAAGAGCACTGACTGCTCTTGCAGAGGACCCGGGTTTGATTCCCAACACCCACATGGCGGCTATGAACCATCCTTAACTCCAGTTCCAGGGGAATCCGAAGCTCTCTTCTGACCTCTCCGGCACTGCACGACACGGGTGCACTCACATACATGCAGGCAATACACTCATATACATAAAATAACAAATTTTTTTTTAAAAATTTAACTTTTCTTGAATAAGGCTGTCATTGTACAGCTTCCACTCCCCACTTGCCCTAGGTCCTCAATGTCTCTGATCCAGGTATCTGCCCTACATTATGTTCTCTTGGTGACAACTTCCTGAGAGAGCTAGATACAGCTTGCTCAACTAGCTGTAAACCCTACACCCCACAGGACAGCATAGATATGCCACAGTGACCGCCTCTCAGTCGTAGGGTAGCCTCCTAGAATGGGTGTCCACCTACTAATCTCCTTGCTGGACCACAATGCTTCCTTCCCTCTGACTCTTCATTCTTGCCTCATGAGGATCAAGGATGGAGACTACCTTCCCAAGCAGGATCTGAAGTCAGGTCTGCAGCGGTGTGATGAATGGGCATTTTCTGGACAGCCAGGGCTGGCCCAGGACAGTTTGGCCTCAAGACACCAGAGAACACAAGGGTGGGCTCCCCAAGCAGAGTGACAGTCAAGTAGCATAAGTGGGACACAGGTCAGACATGGACCAGAGTGAAGCCAGTATTAAAGTTTTCCATGTGAGGGATCTGTAGTTCCAGGTAAGACAACTAGGCATCGATGATCCATCAGATGAAAGGACCAGTCTATGCATGCCCATGGCTGCTAGCACCTGCACTTCTGGGCACGGAAAGGCTACCTGGAAGGCTCATGAACACTGGGTCACATGATTATACTGAGCTAATTGCTGTGACTGTAGGCATGGAGTACTGTGATTGGCCAGCATCACAGTCCTGACTCAGGGACCTGAGCTTCACACTAATGTAAGCTAAATATCAAAGGTAGCTAGACAGCCAGTAAATTGCCCAGACTCTAAGTTGGTAGGATCTGGAGCTCTAGAGGGGCAACAAGATGGGAAGAGAAATACAGAAGTGAGTGTCCACAGAAAGGACTGTGGGCTACAGTTTCCACAAACTCTTACACTATCCCACCAGGCCCACACACCTGTCAGGGACCGAAGAGGTGGGTGGCAACATGAGATATCCATTTGGCTTTGCTGAAGGAACAATAAAAAATCCTCACATTAGTACATATTTTGTCCAGCTCAGCAGCAGATACTTTTGTATTCTCCTTTCTGGTATTACTTTACTTACTTGAAACTGAATTTTTCATTGTACTGAAAGCTGCTTGTTGTGATGATCTCATACTAAATAGACGAAGAAAAGGTAGTGGATTAACTGAGGTAGAAAGACCCACCCTAAATGTGGGTGGCACCATCCCACAAGGCTGAGGTCTTGTACTGAGTAAAAAGGATAAAGTGAGCAGAGCACTGGCTTTCATCTTTGTTTCCTGACTGCAGACTCGATATGACCAGCTGCCTCATGCTACAGCTACCATGCTTCCCCTGTTATACTACTGTACCCTCAAACTGTGACCCAAAATAAACCCCCCTTCCTTAGGTGCTCTTGCCAGGTATTTTGTGTGTCACAGGAATGAGAGAAACAACTAATACAATGGACTCAGTCAACGGCGGTATCTTAAGGAACGCACGCATGCTCGCTTTGATAGAAGTTTCTAGTAAACAAAAGTACGCTATCCTCTGTTCTCTAGGTTCTGACAAAGCTTTGTAATCTCTGCCTCTGTCTTAGAGGGATAGAGCTAGCTGGTTGTCCCCATGAGTAGTCCTTACCTTTGTAGCTGCTCAATTTGTAGCACCGACTTCCTGAGGGACTCCTCCAAATGAGAAATCTGATATAAAATCACTCCATTATTAGACCGACTATGCCAAGAGGCAGTTTAGAGAACATACTTGGTATGTCTTGAAATATGGCATTTCAGCAAGCCTGGCTCATCAGGACCATCTGTGCAGAACTGAGTCAGGCCAGAGCCCCAGAGACATTCAGTTCAGTCTCTACAAACAAGTGGAAACCCAGAGCATGTCAGCTCCGCCAGGTGCTCTTCAGGCTCTGATGTCAAGTCCAAGGAGTGCCTGCCCATTCACAGTTGATTTCAGAATGCAGCCTACAACATGGCAGTGCCTCAAAGGATGAACTTAAAGTCTCCAATTTTTATGGTGGTGTCTGTAAAATCTCTGGTTTTCTGAGAGGTTTAAGAAGGTAACACACACCAAATACATAACTAAGTCATAGCTGGAGGCAAGAAGCCTCCAGGCAGGATTCTGGGAAGCTGCCAGGGAGTGATATGAGGTTGCTGTTGGCAGGGCAGGGGGAGAAAGGGCATGGTGGGGTAAGGTTAATGAGCTGTTCGAGAACCCAAGGGCCCTGTCCACCTGTCCCATCTGTGCACAGCGGCAGTGTGCCTACTAGACTTGAAAGCAGGGCCTCAGAACTCTGTGGCTTTATAACTAGGCTTCTCACTTCATTTATTCCACAATCTTCGGAGTTTTTGAAAAAGGACTTTTATTTTAAAACCAATAGAGATGAGCAGAGATGTTTCTGGGCTGCTCCCATGTTCCTGAGGCCCTGGTATCTGCTGGTCTAGCTGAGAAAGCCCACATGGTCAGAGTCAGTAGCCCTATGTGGGCTGCCCACAGGATAGAGGCTACTTGGCAGGTGTCAGGCAAATAGGTGGATGGTCATAGGAAGGAACCTCCCTACCCCTCGCCACCAAACTGGAAATGCAAAAGAAAACAAACCTCACAGATGCTAGAGGACTCCTTTAAGAGCCTGGACTTGAGAAACTGAAATTGCAACATCAAATAATCCAAGAAGCAAGTGATTGATTCGATTTACCTTTTCTCTATAGAAGGCCAGCAATCTCTTCCTATGTTTTTCTTGAAATTCTGAAATCTGATGAGATAACACATTTCAGCTGTTGAAGGCAAAGGATCATATCACATGTCTTGCAGAAGCAGAGGTCTGGAAAGAACTTTAAGTGTAGTTACAGAATGCTCTGTTTTACATGTAGTTCCCCAGCAGACCTGCATCCCCTCCCACCGAGGCTACCCTTCAGGTATCTTACTAGAGTTATAGGCCACATCTCTGAGCACCTTCCTCAACCGTGTGAGTAACTCTCACTCCTCAAAGCCAAGTTCCAAGGGCCTTGGCATGAACTTTCTCCCTGCCTGCAGGCCTAATCATGTTCTTCTGACTCCTGACACCCATGGGAGGGGACTTAGTGACAGACCATCTACCTTGACTATGGAAGCCTGCTGGTGTCATGTTTGGATGGGTCAAGGTTGCGACTATAGGATTTGTTTTTCCTTTTGGTTCTCCTTAAGACTTGTGTAGGGTATGTATCACTGTCCATGCTCTAGATCTGACCTAGGGGCTAGGTGGAACTGTGAAGAGTTTTGGCAGCAGAATGATGTTCCCAGCTACCTTTGGCAACTATGACCCCATCAACTACCTGTCTCTTGTCTTCTTCCTCAGTACATCCACACTGGTAACAGGAGAAGAGACTTCATGTGCTAAGTCACTCTCTCAGAGACCCACGTTTCTGTAGCAGGTATCCACACCAGTCAGGATGTGGGCTCTTGGGGTGAGCACTGGAGCCTGGAAGAGCCTGTGGATGGGGGAATGCTACCCTAGCCATGGCAGGATGGTTTTTAGATAAGGATCTTGGTGAGAGCAGCATGCAGACCTCTGTGGCTGACTGTCCTATCCCTGTAGAAACTAATTTGGCATGGCAGGCATACTTGTAGTAAGGATGGAGCCACAGGAAAAGCAGTCCTGGATTCCAGAAACCTTGTCATAGGGATGGATCTATGCTTCTCGTGGAGGCAGACAAGCTGTGGATGGAACTAGTCCCTTGAAGTGTGGAGTTCAGAGAGCCTCTTGTGATGACAGGGGCAAGCCAGACACCATGTCATCAGTCTGCCTGGACTTGCCCAGGTGTGCATCTCAGTTTGTATAGGAGTTACTCTGGTCTGGGCTCCAGCAGAGGGTTGGGGCTCTAAAGACTAGATATACTAGCAGTGACCTCAGAAGGAATATTTTATTAGTACAAAAAGCTAAAAAAGGACTGTGAAACCTGGGCATGGTAGCACTGTATCCCAGTTCTTGGGAGGATGTGGCAAGTGGATCATGAGTTTGAAACCAGCCTGGGCTACATAGTGATTTCCATGCTAGCCTGAAAATAATGAGACCTTGTCTCAAAAAAGTAAAAATAAAACAAAGAGATTGTAAAGCTTTATACTGGAGGATAGAGGCAGAAGAACAGGTCAACCCCAAGGCTGAAAAAGCGGGACCACATTTGCTCAGAGCAGAGAGCAGAACAGCTGAGAGAGAAAGAAGACAGGAGGACAGGCTGGGGGCCAGGGAATGACAGCTTTTCCTGAGGATCAGTATACTGTAGGCTGCCCAGTCATGTCCAGGGAACCAAGGTAAATGACATGGGATCTGGGACACAGCACTGGGAATGCTGACACACAATACTAGGGCCAGGGTCGGGTAAGAGTACCACTACTGCAGGCAGTATCACATGGCCAGTGTGCCAGTGGGGAGAAGGGTAGGAAGGAACCGGTAGAGAGGCAGGTGTTACAAGAACCAGGGGAAGGACCCATAGAGCTACATGCCACCACGACAGGGACAAAGAGGGCACACAGCCCTGGGTGACCATCCACACAGGACAGACTCAAAAAGAAACCCTCTAATCTGAACTTAAAGAGCTCTACCTGGGAGGGAGCTGGCCTTCCAACATGAGCTTCTCAGGAATGTAAATGATCATCTGTGGGTATTTATTTTTTGGTCTTTTTGAGACAGGGTCTCCCTGTAGCCCCTAGCTGTCCTGAAGCCTACTATGTAGACCAGGCTGGCCTTGAACTCACAGAGATCTACCTGCCTCTGCCCCCCGAGTGCTGGGATTAAAGGCATATGCCACCACGCCCAGCTATCTGTGGGTATTACTGCCCAAAGGAACCCAGTGCTGAGCTGAGCTAAGCTCGTGTGTTTTAATTTCACACCAAAGCACAAGCAACAACAGAGATCGAAGAGAAAGTCAATGGTGAAAGCTCTGGTATTGCAAATGTTTTGCCAGTGAGATGGTAGAAAGAACTGAGAGGCAGAAAATATTTTCATACATCGTCAGGAGGCCTCTAGAGCATTTACATCACAGGGTCTCTGAGGTAATGCGCTCTGTGAATCACCAAGTCAAGCCTCAAGGTCACAACTCACCTGAGAGGTCTCCTGGGAGTACTTCTTACACAGACCATCTATGCCCAGAAACAATGCCTGGATACTGGAGTCGGTCTGAAAAGAAAGCAAATGACTATGTAGAAGCATTGGCCACTAGTTTAAAAATTGTGCTTCAAGATCTGTAATTAACTATAGATAACACAACCAACCAGTAATTCACCCTGTGTATCTGCCTACCCCTCTAAAGACAATACATGGCAGTGGCACCCACTGATAGTCACTTGAGCCCCTCTGGACCACACAGCCTTCTATATCCGGTGAAAATATGCTTCACAATAAAGATAAAAAGGGAAAGGGTAACATTTTTTCAGACAACAAAAACTGAGGATCTGTCACCAAAAATAAATTCTCTGTGGGTAGGAAATGATCACTGACAAGCACACAAGAATTTGGGAACAGCAAAGAGCAGGCGCAGGGGAAGTGGGGGTCTGACTGAGCATTAGGTATACTGTGCTGTCAGCTTAGCACAAGCGAGAGCCGATATCCCATCAAAAGAGGGAGAGGAAGGTGAGGTCAATGGACTGAAGCCCTTGTATCGTGAAGAAAAATCTAACTTAACATAATTCTTTTTTTAATCATTTTATTATACATGTTTAAGTGTATGATTGTTTTGCTTGCATGTAGGTGCACCACATGTGTGCAGTGCTCACAGAGGCCAGAAGGCCTCGGATCCCCTGGAACTAGAGTTACAGATGGTTATTAGCTGTCATGTGGTGCTGGGAACTGAACCTGGGTTCTCTGGAATAGCAAGTGCTCTTACTGCTGAGCCATCTTACCATCCCCAACGTAATTCTTTGTTAAAAAAGATTTTAATTATTTCTAACTCTGTGTGTGTGTGTGTGTGTGTGTATGTGTGTGTGTGTGTGTGTCTGTCTGTCATCTGTGTTCATGTGAGTACATGTGCCCTTGGAGGGCAGAGGGCACTGACCTCCTGGAGTTGGAGTTACAGGTGGTCATGAGCCACCAGATGTGGGTGCTGGGAACTCTTGTAGGATCAGTATGCACTCTTAACAGCTGAGTCATTTCTCTAGCCCCCTAACTTAGATAATCCCTTAAGGAGGCAAGGTTGCCTGCTATGATCTTTAGGATGGCCAGGGTAGTAAGAGAGAGAATTTTCAGCCTTGATCAAGCCTTCTATAACTTACATTAGGGTTAGGGCCAAGGACAGCTATGAACATGGCCCAACACAAAACTGTAAACTTACTTAAAACATTATGAGATTTTTTTTTTTTGTAAACCAATTGTGTGGTACTTGAGTGTGAATTTTGTAGAAGGCAAGTAATGTCACGATGTCAAAAGACTGGACACACCTAGGGCCTAAGGACCTGAACCTCCTTACAATGCCACATAACACTGTTACATGGGGGAATAAGTTTCCAACACAAGCTTTATGGGAACAGAGTCAAACCACAGGGGCCAGAAGCTAATTTTGGTCATGTTCTGATCATGAAAACATCACTGAGGTCAACACTTAGAATTTTTTAATATTCTCTGTGTTAAATGCCAATAAAACAGCAGAAATAACTAAAAGTATTTAGAAATGAAAACAATATATTTCTGGGTAACATATAAAGTCATAGGGGAAACTAAGCAGAAATGTCAAAATTGAAAAATTTTAGGGGCTGGAAAGATGGCTCTGTGGCTAATGTGCTTGCTGTATAAGCATGAAGACCCGAGTTTAGAGTTCCATCATCCAATATCAAAATCTGTGTGGGGCAGTGCTGGGGAGGCAGAGAAGGGTCTTGCTGGGTTAGCTGGCCAGCTGGTCTAACTGAATTGGCAAGGTCCAGGTTCAGTAGGAGACTCTTGCCTCAAAAAATGAGAAGACAACAACAAGAGCTGGGTGTGGTAGCGCACACCTTGCGACAGGGAGACCCTGGCACAAAAAGACCAAAAACAAAAAAAAAAAAGGTAAAAAGAGATAAACTGTTGGGATGTAGCTCAGCAGTCAGGTGATTGATTGTCTAGCATGTATGAGGGCCTGAGTTCAATCCCTATTATCAAAAAATGAATGAATAATAAATAAATAGTGGAGCGCACTTAAGGAAGCTATGTGACATGGACTTCTGGCCTGTACATACACGCACCTGTATACATGTGTACGCTCACACACACTAACACACATGTACCTACACATTTGAAAGGTAATAAAATCACAACAGAGCCAGATACAAAGATGAACATAGAGGAAAGCCATAGTTCTATGATGTAAATGTCAGAAAGAAAAACATGAAACTGATGTTAAGTACCCCATCTTAAGAATAAGGTAGCTGGGTGTGTGGTGGTGCACCCCTGTCATCCCAGGCCAGTGGAGACTGAGGCAGGAAGATCCAGGGTTCAAAGCTAACCTGGGTTACATAGTAAGCGCCAAATACGTAAAAGAAGAAATGATAAAGAGAACCAGCAAAACAGAAAACAATAATAAAACAGGGACTAAGAGAGTCAAAAATTAGTTTTCTGAAAATACTAATTCATAGTATTCAACAAGCACTTGGCAAGACTGTTCAAGAAAAAGGAACTCATAGCCAGGCATGGTGGCGCACGCCTTTAATTCCAGCTCTTGGGAGGCAGAGACAGGCGGATCTCTGTGAGTTCGAGGCCAGCCTGGTCTACATAGCGAGTTCCAGGACAGCTGGGGCTACAGGGAGACCCTGCCTCAAAAAAGACAAAAACAACAACAACAACAACAACAACAACAACAACAACAAAACACCACAGAGAAGCTGGGCATGGAGGCACACTTCTTTATTCCCAGCACAGGAAGCAGAGGCAGGAGGATCTCTGTGAGTTCAAGGCCAGCCTGGTCTACATAGTGAGTTCCAGGCCAGCTGAGGTTACAGGGGGGCCCTGTCTCAAAAAAACCAAAAAAAAAAAAAAAAAAGGAACTCACAATAGCCACTATTAAAATGAAAAAAAACCCCATCATTACAGACCTTATAGACATTAAAAATATAAGAGGACTACAAATATGTTGATAAGAACATTTTAAATTTAGAAAAATACAACTTATGCTGACCCACGAATTAGGAGTGTTTTCTATTAATTTTTTAGTTAACATTCAAAGTAATGTTTTTGTTGTGACATTTTCATGCATGTAATCTCATTATACTTTGTTCTTATTTGTCCTCCAAATTAAGAGTTTTGATTAGTCACGTGTAATATATACATGAAATCCTTAGATAAAGACCTCCCCTCTAAAACTCTCTATGCTCAAATAGTGTCACTGCTGAGCTGAACCAAACATATAAAGAAATAACCCCAATATTCCAAAATAATTTCAGAAGAGAGAAAATAGCTTTAATAGCTTTTGTGAGGCCATTAACTACGATTACTCAACCTTGAACATGTACTTTTGAGAAAGGAAAATTTCAGCTCCAGCTTATATATGAACATGAATGCAAAAAGTTCCTAGTGAAATGGCAGCAAAGAAAATCTACCTATAGAAGCTGTACTGTGTCAGTGCAAGTTGTCTCTTTCCCTGCTGGAGTCTACTGTAGCTTTTTAAAATCTGAAAGTATACTTAGGAGCAGGAGATAAGGTTCAGTGGTTAAGAGTGTTGTTGCTCTTGCAGAGGACTGAGTTTGGTTCCCACACTGGGAGGCTTACAACTGCCTGTAACTCCAGCTCCAGGGAATCTGATGTCTCTGGCCTCCAAGGGCACTTGAATTCACATGTGCCCACTCATGCGCGCGCGCGCGCACACACACACACACACACACACACACACACTTTAAAAAATAGTAAATGTGCTGCTTCCCTGGGCCTGCACAACCTGCAGGCCTCTCTCCGGGGTAAGCTAACACCCCCTCCAGCGCCTTGACTCCCCCATGGAACCTTCTCCAAAATCGACCATATACTGGGGCACAAAACAAAGCTCAACAAATACAAAAAGACTGAAATAATTCCATGCATTCTATCAGACCACAATGCAATAAAGCTTACAATAAATACCGAAAGAAGGCCTAATCACCACATGAACACATGGCGATTAAACAAAACACTCCTAAATGATAACTGGGTCAAAAGAGAAATTAAGAAAGAAATAAAAGTATTCCTATAACTAAATGAAAAGGACAACACAACACCACCTCTGGGACACGCTGAAAGCCGTCCTTAGAGGGAAGTTTATAGCTCTAAGTGCCTACATCAAAAACTCGGAAAGAACACAAATAAATGACTTAACATTGAAACTCAAGACACTGGAAAAGCAACAACAAATGAAACACAAACCCAGCAGACAAGAAGAAATAACAAAAATCAGGGCAGAAATTAATGAAATTGAAACAAAACAATACAAAGAATCAACGAATCCATGAGCTGGTTCTTTGAAAAGATAAACAAGATTGACAGACTGCTAGCCCAGTTAACCAAAAGAAATAAAGAGCACCTCCAAATCAACAAAATCAGAGATGAAAGGGGAAGCATCACAAGAGACACCAGAAAGATACAGAACATTATAAGGGAATACTTTAAAAACCTCTATGCCACTAAATTTGAATATCTAAACAAAATGGACAGCTATCTAACGGCATGGGAACCACCAAAACTAAACCAAGAAGAGATTAACATCTTAAACAGACCCATATCACAAAAAGAAATTGAAACAGTAATACAAAACCTCCCAACTAAAAAA